GCCTTTAATATTCCAACATCACTAGCTAACATGGGGGTGGCCTTTGAACGCACTCTCAACCTGTTCAGCAACGCTGCAAACACACTATCCTTCTGCCTAACTATGGTTTTCAACTCCACTACACTAAAGCCACACCACAGGTCCACACCAAGCTGACAACTATACAGAGGCTTCCCTTTAATGGGAGGCAACTGATAGAAGTCTCCAACAGCTATCACACTGACATTACCAAATGGGGAAAAGTCGCCCGTCTGCTTCACCTGCCTTAACCTACCATGAACATATGCCAACAGATTGTGATCAACCATACTGATTTCATCTATGATTACAATTTGGAGGTGACTAAATTTGGCTCTCAAAGAGTTTAGTTTGTCCTCACCCAAAGGGATGTAAGGTAAACCAGCATGTGTGCCAATACTTAATGTGTGATGAATTGTTGCTGCATTTAAATTGTATGCAGCTATGCCTGTAGGTGCGGTTAACAAAACACAAATATCGTCTGGTTGATCACAAAGTGTGGACAACAACCTCCCTGCTTCATACTGAATAGCCCTAATTAAATGACTTTTCCCCGTCCCTGCACCACCTGTCACAAACACATGCAGAGGTTCTGGGTTTTTACCCATCACCTTCTGCAAACACCACTGTCTGACCTTATAAAACACAGCCATCTGTGTCTCATCAGAGACCTAACTAAAGCTAAGCCCTCACTTCTACACATCACATTCCTCTTCCTCTCCAACTGCGCTACCTGTCTTCTACCAACAACCAAATCTGGCACATTCTCCAGACGTTCTTGTAACTGCTCCTCTACTATCTCAGATCCCTGCTGCTGCCTTATCTCATCTAAACACTCAAGGCGTTCAACTTCCTGTTCAGGACACAGCTCCCCCCAAGCATCCTCCTCATCTACGCCATGCTGCTCTGCAATCTCCTGCGCAAGCTCTAAATCTGGACAATCTACATCAAACACTGCTCTATTATCCTTCACCACGTCCTTAACCGCATGTACTGACCCGTCACTAAATGTCACACTTCCATCATCATGGAACTGTTCAAACAGCTCAAAGCCTTCAGGTTTGAGGTCTGAGTCAGTTCTATAAGGAAGGAACAACTGCAGCAAACTCTGAAAATGCGCCTCCGGATGTTTTTCCAAACTAACGCGCATGTACCGAACAACCGCAAACTGAGTACGTGTTCTCCTCAAAATGAAGCCCAAATCATTTTTCAATTGAATCCTGTCCGTAGACTTTTCGTTTTTGGAAAGAACACGATACTCCGACGCAAACGTCGCCATACACATATTTTCAAACACATCGCCGTCGGGCCTGTTCCTATATCTATCCACGTCATCCACGTCTTCTGTCCTAAGATCATGTGCAGATGCTCTCTGCTTCAAAACACTGAGGGGTAAACTCATCTTCACTATATTACTCCCTGTCGGCACAAACACAACCTTCCTAGAGCACTCCTTCAAATGCAAGTTTGTTAACCTATACACTGCCTCCTGAGCACTAACGTCCCTATTATGCAAATACACACTGCCTAACTTCTTCAACGCGTCTTTAGCAGAGACATTTCCTTGGTTTTTAGCTTCTTTTTGGGCATTACTCAATAACAGGCCAATTTCTCTCTCTGCTTTTGTAATATACGATATTATATACACAACAACTGCGTAAGCATCAGTTACAAAGCTCACGTCAATATTAGCGTTCCAACACTTCAACAACTGCTTGCTAAACTGATTTACCCAAACTTCATTTACTCCTCTCCTATAAACTACCTTGGTCTTGTTTTCCATACTCCTATACGCCATTTCAAAGATCTCCTGATTAATGCCCACACTCATAAATAATTCCTCTACACTACCAAACAATTCACTTTCCACTGCTTTCTTAACAGACTTCAAAATAGACTTCGCTGTGTCTTTTCTCATGTTATTCCTATGTTCAAAACACCTGCAGACTGGTTTGGCTTCTGACTGAGGATCCTCCCCTGTCTTCTCTGCCTCCTTCTTGTCACACATGCATTTTTTTTCTTCTATTTTACAAATAAATGTACGCTCAGAAACAGGTTTTGGGAAATTAAAACGACATACTGTCTTCTTTTTCCTGCATGACTTTGAATGTCATTTGGAATGTGTTTGCACTGATGACACAATGTCCAATAATACGTCATCATCTGAGGGTAACTCACACGATACGTATGTAACCCACGTTAAAATATGACATAAATAGGGATAAGTAATTTAAAAATGTATAAATAAGTTTGAAGGTTAAAAATGATTCATTTAATGTAAGTTAATTCATCAGAGTTAATAAAAAATGTTAATACAACAATAATTTAATGTTGAGGATCCAAAATATGGTGATAGAGAATTCGTGTCACTGTCCCTTTAAGGACCAGTGACGCTAGACGCAGTACCTCAGTGACACTGCAGCAGAGACCTGAGGGAGAGAGCAGAGAAGAGATTGGAGAGAACGAGAGGTGGTTAATAAGCAGAAAAGAGAGTGAAAAAGTTGATTTTGCAGTTGGAAAACAATAACGTACCTGGTCGGAAACTGACGGGGATTATGTGAAAATTAAGCAACACCGGTTTTGGTGAGTTTTGTGTTTACTTTCTTACATTTTACCGTGTTGTGCCTTCTTTTTCTGGCGAAGAGCCAACACTAAAAACATAGCTGTTTACAAGGAAATGCTCCGTCATAAACTGTTTACCAGTTAATATTTTGGGTTTATGATGACTGTGAATGTTATAAAAGTGTATGTATGCTGTGTAAATGGAAGATATATTGAGTAGTTTATGTGGGAGGCGGAGCCGCGAGTTATAAGAGGCCACTCCACCGCCATTTTGAGATGAAAAAGCACCGTAGCAGTAACGTAACAACTCAGAGACTGTGAGACATTTATTTGTGTATTTTGAGGATTTCAAAAGAGATTGATTGTGTTTTTGACCTGTTACACAGGTCAGGTTTTTTTTGCTTGGTTGGAAGCTCGGTCGGAGCGGAGATTGGTCTGCAGTGTGCGGGCGTGCACATTCACAGACAGGATTCAAGATGGCGAGCCAGACCCAGACCTTCATCTCATCTTCTCCATCACATCAGTGAGGAAATCTTCTGCGCATGGTGACTCACTGCCAGAGTGGTAGGAGTATCAGGATTTGATTTGAACTGAACAGAGAACTGATGGAATTATTATTTTTGGACTGAATCGGACTGAAACTTTTCATTGAACTGAACAATTGAACTCACATTTGGACTTGAACTGATTTAAAGTGTCATACTTTTGTTAACCTAGGTAAACAAAAGAACAAAAAGAAAAGAGTGAAATACCTTTTCCATTTATTATACTTACCACAATGTAAGAACCTGCAGGGTATTTCTTTTTGTTTTGTGTACTGTGTTTTACATGTTTATATTACATTCAGTAAATTGCTGGCCTTTTGTATTTAAAGCAACGGTCTCTGGGTCTTTTATTTTTGCTCCCCACTCCTTAGAGCCTAGAACTGGTCCAGTGGCGCAGTAAGTGGTGTGATACCGGTGCTACACGTACTTAATCAATAAACTCTACAACCTCCTCATCTGTATTTTTATCAATTTGGGGAGCACCCTCAATCCAAAACAGACAGTGAACATGAGGAGAACCGCGCTGCTGAAACTCAACCCTATAAAAGTAATCTATGATTTTGCCAATTGGTTGAGAAGGAGACATGAGAACCTCTTTCAGAAAACAATGCCATCTGTAATCAAACATCCTCGCTGCTGTAACCGGGTTACCACGCAACAACTGACACCTGTCTGCCCACTCCAAATCCTCTACCGTCTGCGTTCTGCCTTCCTGCTTCAGGATGCTGGTCAGGAGATTCT